GTAAAGCCGCAGTTCTCAAACCCAGTGTGCCAAATCCAGGCCTAGTCAAACTAACAATTATAAAGGCGACCCACGCGGTTTATCCTGCTGGCCATCTGTTATCACTCTCCCATCTTTGTTGTACTTGCTTGCTTCCTAACAACAACAGTTGTTTAATTTGTTCGAGGGTGGTTTAATTAGATTTAAATAACACATTTTACTTTACGAGCACTTCACGGAAAAGATGGAAAAATTAAATCCTGCAAATGAATTAAATCATATTACTAGTTTTTTATGTATCTATTATTTAAAGTCAGCATTTAGTTCGTAATTTGTAGGTATATATGCATAAAAAATAATACCATTTATTCATTTTTGAATTAGTAATTATCGGCTTTTGATGATGTCACTTTTGGTATTTGACTTAAAAAACATTTTCTCAAAAAAAGTGAAGTTTTTGGGAAAACATTATCCGTTTACTGATCTGATTCCGGATTTTGCTACTTACAAGTATTTCCATCTTTCCTGGATTAGGTTTTATTGACAGTGGTATCTTAACGAAAGGTTCTGAAGGATTTTCTGACTTCTCGCATTTATATTAGCTTTAGAATACTTCTCTGTCAATTTCTACTAAATGAACAATTTAGAAAACAGTTCTGTGAATGAAATCTTAAGTTTAAACATAACGTATCTAAATTAAATATTTAAGACATACCTTTTAATAATAATTCTGGTTTGTAGTAAGTCAGTGTTATCTCATTTGAGCTCAAACAACTAAACACAACAAATATCTGCTTCAACTTGACGCAACAGAAGTTTGACGTTTTTTAGGGAATCTGTTTTCGATTTTTTGGCCGATATTGCTAAAAAATTAAACAGAAGTTGTTTACGTTTCTTGTTGTCTTTTGTTTTAGAATTTTATTTTATCATTTTTGCTTTAATAGTCACTTTTAATGATCATTTTTTGATCGTATTAAGTTTAATATTAATATTCTCCTTGCTTAAAGCAGAAACGCTTAAGCTGCGTCATGGACCTATGTCGTGAGTTCCGGGGCTAGCCTGCCCAGCATCATATATGTATGTATTATTAATCATTTTGACCGTTTTTAGATTATAATTGAATTGATTTGAAACAAAGAAGATTTGTACAAAGTGTTATTATTAGATTTTTGTAACTACATCCTAATTGCAACCCTCAGTTATAGTTTTTACCTTACCAAAAAAGGGTATCATCTGAATTGCATCCCGTTTCTGGAAGAGATTGTTAGTGACATGTTTTGACAATTGTTTTCGATATTTCGAAAGATCCAAACGTTTGTGGTTTTTGGAGATTCCGAACGTTCTGCCCAAATATACGATGGAAACGTCGAATTTTCATTAATGTAGTTTTCGACAAGATAGTCGCTGAATTTGGATAAGTTTTTATTTTTTGGTTTGATTTTGGCCAAATGAATAGGTCGAAAATTTCTTCTTCTTGACCTGACTTATTTTGATATGCACACGATAAGTCGTAATCTTGAATTTTTGTATCACGATTGCCCAGGGGAAATCTACAACCATGAGCAAAACCATTAGCGATAGCTTTATGAATAGAAATTCCAAAATCTGCCGTTATCGTTTCAGAAGCTAAAAGTTTATTTAGAAAGGATTCTTCTTCATCGTAATCATATGGTTTTATATAGATATTGAATTGTCTGTTCAATTTTTATTTTTTCTTACTGAATATTTTTGGAAACGAAAAGCGTAATATTGTTAGCAATTCTAATAAATATACATCGGATGCAATTCGGCTAGTTCTATTTTTAAAATTTATCTGTGACCACAAAAAGGCCTGAAAGACGCTATGCACTGAGGATATTAGTTTTAGTTTACTGGAGTGACTGTAATAAGAGGGTTTGGAGAGATTAGTGGTTTTCTGTAGATATTGCTGCATTTTGTTCGTTTTAACATTATTTATTAACCAAGAAAAAAAAATACAGTGATTAATTTACAGTAATGTATACAAAAATAAAAAGAATACAAGTTTATGGATTTCAGATTTCAACGACTAACGTCGAAAAATTCGGTGAACTAGAAAATAGATGCATTCTTCTGTGTAAAGAGATCGGTAATTTTCTGTCAAAAAATTGAAACACGATTGCTTTACAAAACTATTTAAACCTGGACTCAATTAGACTAAACTTAATTAGAATAGGTATAGTCTTTACTAGAATAGGATGAGTGGAGTGTAGAGTTAGGTAAGTAAATTTTATCTTGACGAAATTTAGAACGAGAATGTTGGTACCTATCGTTTTGAGTAGCGTAATGTACTGTTCCAACGGGAACACACAGCTTAATTTCACGTACACAAGAGGAACAAATCTTAATTATGACTCTCAACAGTGCGCTACATTGTCTGACTCCTGTAATTCACAATTTCCTAATGAGCCCCGTGTTAATATAATTAAAATCCAGCTTGTTGCGAATTAGGAACAACCTAAGATTTAAACTGATGCGTTCCTGGTGCAGCCAGCTTGGCTCCAGATAATGTTACCGGGTTTGATGTTCGCCCGAAGGAGAGCGTCGAGGAGGCGTACTCGACACGGCGGCGCGCACTATAATCCTACTATTTAAAGTTGACTGCTACGTGCTGCGTCGCGATGGGATGGATTTAGAAAACAGGAAGGCGCTTTTCCAAAAGCATTACCTAATATTTTATTAAGGAAGGAAATGTAGCATGGCTAATGTGTGATTAGAACGTAACTTACCTTTAAGAAGTTTTAATAAATAATTATCAACTTCCTTATGTACTTGTTTACTAACGAACGTTGTCCTTTTCTTCTTGTTTTCTGTTCCTCTGTTCCTCTGTGTTCATCCTTTTAAGAGGTATTCATTTCTTTTATAAAATGACGTCTTGCCAGTCCCGTCAATGTAGATTAATTACTTACGTCCCATCTCAGGGGAATAGATCGAAGACATACATAGGAACGACATTTTGTATTTCTGTTTGTGATCAGTACAAAAATTAGTTTTGTTATTGATCTAGTTAGACCATTCGAAGAGATTTATTTCTCATTTTGTTACTTATAAAACTTTTAAAACAACAAATGATTTTAATATCCAAACATCTCTATCTAGTGGGTATTTGTTGCTATTGAAGTATTGTAAGTATTAGACAAGATTAAAGTATTTCAACTTATCTGACCGAATCAACGCAGGCTACATACGTGATAGGCATTAACAAGTTCTTGGTCAGAAATTTATGGATAAAGCGAGACACGGTTTGACTAGTAATTTATCAAGACTGCCTATGACGCTCTGACGAGGTAACTTAAACGTTCAATAGATACAATTTCGGATCTTGAATCTCATCAGCGCGCTGCAAACAGTTTCGGCAGAACCGAACAGACCAACTGTAGTACTCTACCTGCTGCCTACAGAAAGCGTTTTATGAAGAACCACAAACGGCATAGTGAACGCCATCTGTGGTTACGCTGACGAATATCTACTTGCTGAACTGAATCCATGGCGTAGCTCACCATATGAGGCACGTAACTAAAATTGAACAAATAAGTTCATAGCGGTCAGTATTCCACTAAATGTAACACAGATGGTGTTCATCATGCCGTTTGTGGCACTTCATAAAACGCTGCCTCTAGACAGGTTGAGTTGGTCTCTGTCCTGATCGAGCGGCATGACCTAGATATTTATACTATTGCTTAGCATTCCGGAAGATGCCGGTTCGATTCCGAGTCCGCCTGCCTTAGTACAAGTTTTTCTTTGGTGTACCTGGATCACCTAGGCAAATGCTGGGGCAGTAATATTCCACAGATAATCTTTCACTCTCTTCTGTCTTCATTTCGTCCGTTTCGTCTTTCTCACCCGAACCACCACCCACCCATTCCCACGGTTCCTGAAAGGAGGCTCAAGAGGACCTTCCGCCCTACCTTTCGGTGAAGTCCGGAGGTACTGCCCGCCCACCAGCATTAGTTGCTGGTGGGAATAAAACACCCAAAAGTTTTTAAAGTAAAGTTTTCTCTGTCCTGTCGAAATTAGCTGCTACGCGTTGATCGAAGAGACCGAAATCGCGATTCGCGTCTGTCAGTGTCGACAGAATACTGACGACCATGAACTACTTTGTTCGATTTGGTTACGTACCTGCCACGTAAGGTGAGTTATGCCGTGGTTTCAATTCAGTAAATAGATATCCATCAACGTAAAAGGACTTTGTTGAACATATTGAATTCCACTAAATGTAGCATTGTATCATAGATGGCGTTCACCATACCGTTTGTGATATGGTACTATATGTTAACTTTAGTGTATAAAAAATTTCTTAAGCAAAATACCTACTTCATCCAGAGTTGATTAGAAAAGAATTGCATTGTAGTTCTAGTATTATAATCAAATGGCCTAGTATATGTACTACATTGTGGCAAAGAAATTGTGTTAAATATATGAGTTGGGTACATTGTAGTGAAATGTATATCGTTTGAAATTGGATTCACAAACGTCGTCTGTGCTAAGAAATTAAAGGAAATCAGAGACAAAATAAATAAGAAGAGGAAACGTAAGCTTCTACATCGGACGGGCGGGGCGTGTGCTTCGAAGATGACAAGACGCGATATCCGCCACTTGAGCAAGCGTTTGGTCTGAAAAGTAAGGTTGCTTCGAACGAATGTTCTGTTAGATAAACTCTCTCGAATTGAAATACCTACGTGGATGGTTTTGAATTCAGGATTTCTTTTCCTTTATTGCATTCGGATGCATTGTATTTTGCGCCGCATTATTTTCTGCAAAAATGTATTTACTAGATCTCAAGTGGATTTTTTGTCGTATTAATCTGCAAATATAACAAAGCTAGTAGGTGTTCACATTGATTTAATTATTGTTGAGGAACTGATTCTTTTGGTTTTGTAATCTTAAAATAACTCTATTTTATATCGTAGTTGATGCAGAAGCAAATGGAATGTTCTGATTGCTGAGAATATTGTTTTTTATGAATGAATACAGTTGTAACGAAAATTTTTTTCTTTTTCCAGATTCCTCAAAACATTCCACGTCGCATTTCCTACCGTATTTGTAGAGGTAAGTTACTTGGTGTAACTATTAATGTTAATTCGCATTTTTGTTACTTCTACTTGGTCTTAACGCTCTTTCATTTAATTTCTGAAAGACTTATCTCGACATTTTAAAAAATTCAACCTCCAAAGGGGGGGGGGGTAGAAAGGTGTTGCAATTTTTGTTTTGGACATACAATATTTGTGGTTGAATTTTACTTGAAACTTGGTATATATGCTGTTTGATATTATTTATCAAATGAAAAGAGGTTGCAACGTTTCCATGGAGTGTATTTTATTTGTACTCGGATTTACTGCAAGGTTGCTCATTGTTGAAATTAAGCGGATACGTGTTTTGAAAGTTTTTAAAAATAAACCCTTAAGGATGAAATGTTGTTGCTACGTTTGTATTTGAAATCTAAGATGACGACACATCATACAATTAAAACGTTCTAAGGGTGAATTGGGAGTTAAAAGATTTTATGGAGAAACAATATTAATTTCTGCGAGCAAGTTTTTTCACATTGTTTCTTGATTTTTGCTTTTGCAGGGGTAACATTAGTATTTTTGTCTGAAAAAATTATACTTTTCTTGATCATTAAAGTGAAAGACCGCAATTACAATTTAATCAAGTCAAAAGGACAGTCTCGCGTATGGACTTTTTTTTACCAATTGGACATTGATTCTTGTAAAGTCAAGTGTAAGTAGTGCCAAATGATAATTCTCGTGGTGGACAGAGAAAAACAGCAAATACTACAATTATAAACAACAATATCAAATACGGACATCCAACCTTAATACCTCAATTAGGTTCTATGATCAAATGCTCGACCACAGACTATTCCTTTCAGTCACAAATCCAAGTCTGTTAATAACACAAATTCTTACTCCTTTATTTAAATAAGAATGTATTTGTCAATGTTTATTGATGAAGATAAGACGATATGTGTAAGACTGATTCTAAAATTATAATGTTAATTAACAATCAAAGTTTTTAGTTTGTGTAATTCCTCATATGTACAGTGTATTGAGAAATACATACAAAGTAAGAAGCCGGATAGTCGGCGAGGTATGCCGAATAGTCGCCGATTACAAAAGTGACCGAATAGTTAACAGAATTTGTTTAAGTTCCATGTATGTTTGAATTTAAATCAAAATCTCTCTTTATTGTCTTATAAGTAAGCGTTTTACGTATTAAATACAAAGAAATATTGGATATGTACGCTTTCGCTAAAAAAGTCGTCCTTCTCCTAATATTCGCTTTGAACGGTCAAAGCAAACATAATCGCATGATGATATACTAAGAAAAGGGCCTTCTCGTGTTGTACGTGTCAATTGCAGTAAAGTCGGTTTTGGTTGTCGTAAAGCAAAATGACATTTCCGACTGGTTGTCGATAATACTCATTATTTGCCACATAATACAATACAAACGCTGTCACGGGCATCTTTTTCATTGACGTATGTGCCCTTGACGAGACTTAGTCCAGATGCGGATCAAATGTCGAGAGCGCCCTAGGATAGCACCTCGTAGACGCTCCTCTGGCGATCATATATTTTGCAAAATAATTTTTGGAAGCTGGTACTTTCTTATTGTTTTTGTTTTTAGTTTAAAAACGCGCGCCCCTTCTTAACCTTGCGTCCTAGGCATGTGCTTAGCTTGCCTTATGGATAATCCGCCACTGACTTAGCCTCTGAACTTTTCTTGATATTTCTTTATATTTTCGCAAGCTCTTTCATCATTATCGTAAGGTCATCAGTCATAAGACTTGTTGGACACGGACCTCCACCCTTTTCTATCTAGCTAATCTTGGTACTTCCCTAAAACTAGAAGATCCCACATCCTTAATTATTTATGAATGGTAATCTAATCTAGCTGTACCCCTCTTAACTCCTGCATGTCCTTTGTGGTAAGAAATTGTGTTGACGTAGGCAAATTTCTAGGGTATGTGGAGGACGATCATCAATGTACAATGTAAATGAAATTTCGGCTGAACTAACTTCTACGGCCCGAAATTGTGACAAAAGTAGATAATAGATTGTTTTTCGAGTTTCACTCATAGCGATCAGAATGTTATCGAAAAACTAAGTACCTAGGTACAAAAGAAACAAAACGCGTACCTGTTGTATAAAATGTGATAGATTATACTTCTATACTTGGCAGGTTCTCCGCATGCTGGACGATCCTAGAGCCTTTTTTTACCTATTTCCCAATTAGTAATTGTTAAAGAAACATACTCGGCTATCCACTGTTTTCTATCGCTTTCATATAATTAATTTGCCCTACATCCTGGTTTTATTTCAAAGTATCTGTAATGAAATGGGAAATTTGTTACATCCATGGCAAAGTAGTCCATAACGCACTGTTACCATGTTCTATAAACTGGCACCAATCTACATTCCATACAAAAAAATGGCATCCGACCTCTTATTGGTTTTGAATTCAAATCTAAACCATAAAACTGCCCTGGGTGCGAAATGTGTTATTCGTTAGATCTGACTTCAAGTAGGACCCAGATAAGATCATTTTGATGGTTCTCAGATCAGAAACATAAGGTTTTAGAACATTTGGACTCAGTCAATCAACTAGACTTTCACTGGAGGGAGCTACTTTGAATATGGCATATCGTTACAGATTTTAAATAGGACGAATTAGTCTAGGTAGGGTATTCCATTAAAATATTGAAATGGGGTATTCACACTAAGTCTTAATAGTCTATATCATAAAATAGAACAGATAGGGTATCCACATTAGGGTCGTATTAGACTCATACTATTAAAGGCCTCAAGTAGGATGCCGCTAATGAGTTGAACTGAGTACCCACATCAGAGTCACAACAGTCTTAATAGGGCATGCCGTGAAAGGGTTCAGGTGGGGTATCATTAGGGTCAAATCAGTCTAAATAGGATATGATGTAAAAGGGTGTTGCTGGGTGTTACTGCTCAGCCCCGGATAACCGTATCTGATTATGGCGTTGATAGTATGCCATAATAGGAGATGCTCTAGTATATTCAGATCCGGTCCAGATACTGATTGGGTCTACCCTAACAAATTTCTAGTCGAGTTATTGACTTCCGTAGCAACCTTTGTTCTCCTACAATTTCCAATACCTCCTTTTTTCTAACCTTTTCTATCCATTGTATTTTTACCATCCTCCACACATCTCAATCGCTTTTAATTTTTTTTGTCATGTTACCGCGGAAAGCTCGTTTTGCGTGCTGTGAAATAGAGATGATATGACCTTTTTTCAGTCATTTTTCAATTGGGGGGCAATGACAGTAGTCAATGGGAGCATGCGCTGAAGTTTATGGGCATGAATCAGTTATTCGACGGCGATTTAGACACATACTAAAAATCATATTATTACATTCCTTTTCAATTCAATCTAAATCATTTCATGGCCCCATATACATCTTTACATTTCATCCATGAAAATAATTCATTACAGAACAACAATGTTTCACAATTCACATGCAGTCTGAGAAAACCTTGTTTCTTCCCTCGACACGTAATGTACTATTCTTTTTCTTCTGTATAAACTGTTTAAAATGTCTCAAAAATAATTTATTAAAATGCTTCTCGAGTTAGTAGCATTATGGTTATGTAAATTAATTATCTTTTGGGGTCAGATATAATCCCAATTGTGTTTTTTGTTGTTAATGGAAAAATGTTTAGCTGCTGAAGGATTTGGCCGTATTTTATATAATTATAATTATTTCCCGAATGCTTTCAAAAACTGATATTTGCCATTTTAGTTTACATTGTTCAAACACGTTTTTTTTATTCAGGATGCAAAAGTTAGAAGCGTTCGAAATGTGGTGTTGCAGGCGAATGATGACGATAGCGTGGATAGAGAGGGTCAGAAATGAAGATGTATTGGAAAGAATAGGAGAACAGAGGACTTTACGGAAGTCAAAGAAATAGGCGAAATAGGTTAGTAGGACACCTTCTCAGGCATGATGGTTTAGTCAGCGAGAAGTATTGGAGGCAGAAACGGGAGTTAAGGGGGAGGGTAGAGGTAGACCTAGATTAGTTTGTTGTTCGCAAATAGTTAAGGATGTGAATTGTTCTAGTTTTAGGGAAATGCGAAGATTAGTTCAAGATAGGAAAGAGTGGAGGTGCGTGAGCAACCAGTCTTAGGACTGACGACCTTATGATGATGAAGATGCAAATTAGTAGTGAAATAGATCTGTGTCTACCGTAAAAATATAATTTACGTTTTGGGGTTTGTGATAATCCCTCGAGATTATTTTATTTTCTTGGGGGCACGTAATGAAACCTAGCGAATGTAGATTAGGATCTAAAGCAGTTGCAATTTTCTGTCGAATAATTAAATTTATTTTAGTTCCGTCGTTTCCAAACGGCTGTAATAGGACGGAAAGTCTTTTGAAAACTAGGTTATGCCGCAATTTATTTCGAATACACTTACCTATATAGTCGGCTCGACGGTGGTGCGGCAGCGGCCGCCGAGGCCGGTTAAAAGTTGAATTGCTCAACTGTGCGTTATTTCTGGAATAACTCAAGGTTCATTTCAACATCCGAAATGTTTTGACAAAGTGCACCAGCCGTGGGGTTAGTAAAACGGAAATGCGAACGTATGCCTTCAGTTCCGCTCGTTAAATGAGAAAAAACAAGTCGCGAATTCGTCTGCGAACGGTACAAAATTGTTTCTTGTTGTTGTTATAGAAAACAGTCGGAACTCGGAACAGTCTTTTGCCGCGTTTTAACCTTCATTCAAAAGAACGGCTCTTGGTTGAGACAAAACAACAAAATGTTGACGAACATCTTATACGTTTCACTGCTCTTATTATCTTTCTAGCTAAACTACTTCAATTCGACAATGGCATCGTTAATTTCAAAAATATTGTTGAAAATACTTCCTCAAAGAAATGCAGTACAATTTCAGTAATTCATCAGTTTCTCCCGTTTAAGAATACTGAGACCCCTGTAGAATTTATAAGGAGCATGCCCCATGTAGTGTGCGGACCTCATGTTTCTTATGATATAGGGATTTCCCCGTAGATTCCTCA